GCCTGTAATCCCAGCTGTTCGGGAGACACAGGCAGGAGGATCAGGAGTTCGAGGCCAGCCCAAGAGAAATGTAGTGAGTCTGTCTCGTGAAGAAAGCATAAGGGAAAGGGCTGGGGATGTGACTCAAGTGGTAGAGCGAGCAGCTGCTTAGCATGAGTGAGGCCTGGGTTCGATCCCAGTGTGACAGACAAACAGACGCGGCATGCAGCAGTGGACACACACCCCTAAGAACGCGAGGAAAGGCCGACATCAGCCCTGCCCTGAAAAGTGAAGACGCTGCCGTGGAGACGCGTGAGGCCTAGAACGGTTCCACGTTTACGAAATACCTTCGCAGGTTCGAAACTCTGCCGATCAAAACTGCAGCTACGTGTGGGGGACGGGGACCTGAGAGGTGGCCTCACGTCCTCAACGACCTGGCACAGCTGGCAATCTTGAACCTGGCCGAGGCCAGGAGGCTGGCGGGCCACACGCTGAAGAAGAGGGACAGCGCGGTGGCCTTACCCTGGGGACAGCAGAAGCTGTCACAGGCTTCTAACAGACTTTCCACAGTCAGAGCCCAACGTCAGAAGGGCCACGCGGACTGCTCTGTGGAGGACGGCAGCGCCGAGGAGACACAGAGCCAGGCGAGGTAAAGCAGGGCCTCAGAAACCAGAATCCTCCACCAGCGTGGGGGACCGGTGGCAGAGCTGTCCCCATCGGAGCGTCTTCCAGGAGCGCCCAGCTCACGCGAGCCTCTCGCACTGACGTCAAGCCCATGTGCAACGTTCACACGGTTATGAAATGAGGTGACAGTGACATCGTCCCTCCATGTTTCAGGCCTGTGTGAGCTCGCTCCGGCCCTGCAGCGATGAGTAAACTGACTACACGACGGCTAAGGCAACGCGCTAGTCACCCAGACGTCCGGTTCCTGTACTGCGTAGCCTTTTTACATTCTACCTGCCGTGCGTTGGGGTGAAGGATCCCTTACTCTGCGGGTGACACACCTTGGTGGACAGCAGCAGTGGACACCTGAGGAAAAGGAGCTGACGGGCACCAACAGCAAGGGACAGCACGCCTAGCTGTCCATCGGTCCAGACAAAGGACTTCGGTTCCTTCCAGGGCAATGCTCGGCAGAGGCCTCACTGGAGCCCAGGTTTGTGGACAGCTAAATCCAGGCTCTGGAGCCCAAGTGTCCTCAGAAGAGGCTGCTTGCAGAAGGGAGGGACACAGAACCCCAGTGGCCCGTGCAGAAAGAGAAGCCAGCGACAGGACAGCGGGGGAGGCGGTGGGTGGCGGATCAGGCCCGGCAGGGGCAGCGGGAGGAAGGTGGCCAGAGGCCTGGGGCAGAGAAACCCAGAGCTCGACTGGCTACAGGAAGGTGGGGGGCACACCAGATTTCCTGACTGGAGAACATCCTTAATTTTTTTAAATTACAGTGCAATTTCTGCACTCTTGTGACAACGAATGCTCGCTCACAGGAAGGGCTGAGGAGGCCTGAGGTTAATTTTGAAGCCGTTAATGGGAGACAGAGGTTACTCGGAATAAAAACTCCTGGGCAGAGGGCACCGGCCCTCCGTGTTAAGAGTCTGAGCATCTCTGTTCAGAAGAAACCCGATGGCTTCCCACAGGGGGGCAGGACAGCCGGTTTTAGGTTGCCGTCTTGCTATGCCAGACCCAAAGCTCACCACAGCCCACGACAGAAAAGGGCAGGAGGACACAGGGCGCCGTGCTCGCCACTCGCAGCGTTCATATGGGGCGCAGTTTTTGCTGCGAAAGGCAGTTTCCTGCACTTCATTTCAACATGAAAATAATGCAAAATGGCCCACACAATGTGGCAGGCAGGAAGAGCCTAACAGTGCCTCCTGCGAACCCGTCACACTGAGGGGCCGTGGCTGCGTTGTAGAGCTCCCAGAGGGGTGCTAATTAAGAAAAAAAAAAGGCTATAACCTAAGGACAGAAATGGACAGATTTATCAGTATTTGGACACAATTTGCCTTGCAAGAAAATTCAAGAGAATCGAGAAAAAGCTGTGACCTTATGAGGCCGCTATTAGAGAAACCCCTGCCTCTGCACCTTCAGTAAGCCCGTCGTGGAGTTACTGGGTGGACGGCTGGGGGAGCGGCTCAAGCTGTAGAGAGCCTACCTAGTAAGCGTGACACCCTGAGTTCAAACCCCAGTGCTGCCAAAAACTAAAAAAAAAAAATCACAATGGGAAAACACCCCATTTCCAATGAGATATATTAAATATACAGGAAAAAAAATCTCACAGAAATTTACATCAACGAAGGACTATAAAAGAATAAATGGCCTTGGGGCAGTGGCTCATGCCTGTAATCCCGGCCACTGTAGAGCCAGATATCAGGAGGATAGGACTTTGAGGTCAGCCTGGGCAAAAAGTTAGCACGACCCCATCTCAAAAATAGTCAGACAAGGGAGTGCACATCTGTAATCCCAGCTAGGCAGGAGGCATAGGTAGGAGAATCACAGTTGGAGGCCAATCAAGGGTTAAAAAAATGTAAGACCCTATCTGAAAAATAGCTAGAGCAAAAAAGGCGGGGGGGGGGGGGGGTGGCTCAAGTGGTAGAGCGCCTGCCTAGAAAGCATGAGGCCCTGAGTTCAAACCCCAGGACTGCAAATAAATAAATTCATTAACGAATGGAGGGACAGAGCACTCACTATGGAAAAGGCATCGAGTCCATCCATGGTTAATATGAGCATTTAATGGCGTTCCAGTGAAACCACAGTGAAAGATTCTCCAAAACATACAGAGTGATTTCGAAGCGCATTTGTGAGGCGGGACCCAGACCACAGACCACGAGGACGCTTCTTGCAGATGCAGTCAATAAACCGAGTGTCACCAGAATGCAGGTTGCCAGGCGCCACAGCCAGGTCTGGAGCCAGACCGATACAAACAACCGAGTCCACCACAGAACACTTGGTTGGGAATGTTTGGAACGCCTATAATCCCAGTAATCGGGAGGCTGAGGCAGGAGGGTCATGAGTTCAAGACCACTGACGGGCTCTGTGACCACGCTGACCTGAAGCTGCCAGCTCTGATCACTCAGCAAAACATGGCAGGCAGGTTAACGGGGTCTGAACCCCGTCAGGGTTTCTGCTGCTCCTCCGTACCAGCCCCGTCTCCTCTCGAGTGCAGACCGAAGCGCTGATGACACAGTGCCACATTCGGACACTTCCGCCTGTTCAAGGTTTGGCTCAGAGGAAGCGGCCCAGGGGGAGACAGCCCACGCCACCGCCCACACCGGAACCCCAAGAGTGGCAGGCGCGTCACAAGCAGACCCCACACTTAACCCAAGGAAGTCCCAGGACAGCGGCCACTGGGACCTTGAACCCACGTGATCCTCACTGTGGATTCCTCTAAGCTCCAAACCAGGCTTGGCTTGGTTCAGACGGGAACGAAGAGTCCCAGTTGGGCACAGGCAGGTAAGAAGTGGTTCTCTACAGGCTGGCGGGGTGGCTCACGTGGTAGAGCGCCTGCCTAGCAAGCGTGAGGCCCTGAGTTCAAACCCCAGTGCCGCCAAACAGGAAAAGAACAAAAAAAGGAAGCAGAATTCAGAGCATCTTAGAAATTAGGAGAAAAGCAGCATGACTGGCAGCAGTGGATGAGGGAGCTGTGGTGGAGAGAGAAAAGGGGGGAGAGAGGGAGCGAGGAGAGAGACAGAGGCAGAGAGAGGGAGAGAAATATTACTCAGCCTTAAAAAAGAAAGAAATCCCGCCATCTGCAGCAACACGGATGAAGTGGGAGGGTGTTGCATGAAGAGAAATACGCCGGACAGGGAAAACAACCTGTGATCCCACTGGAACCTCAAATTCACAGAGGGAACCGTGGCTGCCAGAGTCCAGGGAGGGGAAGATGGGCAGGTGTTGGTCAGAGGGGACAAAACTGCAACTGTGACAAATGAGGATACAAAGGAAAAAGAGAGGAGAGGCAGAGTTTAAAAAAGGATCACTGAGCCTAACTCGCATCAGATACCGGAAACAGATTAGGCTTGCGAACAAAAACGAGAGAACTGGCTAAACAGCAGCGCTGCATGTCAGGTGACGACGCCACTCTGCAACTCCAGGGCAGACGCCTCAGGACAGACGCGGGACAGGAGGGGGATTGCTCAGGTCACCTGGGAATCCGATCCACACCTGGGCCACAGGAGGACGGTGTGGTCCACATAGAGCAGCATCTCAGTACAGGCCTCGGTGTGTCACTGGCTGAGTGACACACAACCCGGCGGGCGGTGTGAAAGGAGAGCGGCCAGGAGACGGTCACTGGCATTACTAACGGCCGGATCACTTTAAAGTCGGAGGAGAAAACACACGGTGTTATTCAACTTAGAAAGAATTATGATAGCTGGACACTGTCCCCACGGGGGACAGAAAGAAATGGATCCAGAGGCCACCCCAGGGCCTCTCCGTCATACACACCCGGAGCAGTGGTGGGTGGCAGGGGACAGAGGTCCTAAGTAGGTGGCAACTCTGAGATGAAAGGGCGTGGGGCACCAGCATTGCCTCGGGGTCCCCTCTATGACAGTACCAAAAAGACGCAGGTCACAGAAAAGTCACACTGGTGATGAGAGGGAGAAAATTCCCCATCCAGTAACGGGGCTGGCACGGGTATCCCACGCTCGGGAAAGAGCGGAAACGCAGCCCTCGACGCAGTGGCAGTCACCCGTCCCTTCCCCAAATGTCCCTAGATGGACAACAGTGCCAGCTGAGCTCTCGACCCGGCTCTCCCTCCTTACAGCCATCAGTCAGGCGGTGTCCAGATGCATGGCTCGTCTTTCCGCTCCTTGAATGTCAAGAAATATGATCGAGGTTGGAGCGTGGCTCAACTGGTAGAGAGAGCACCTGCCTAGCAAGCCAGAAGCCCTGAGTTCAAATCCCAGTGCCAGCAAATAAGAGATAGAGGTAGAGATAAACGTGTGTGGATATACAGGTTCTGAAATTTCTTTGTGGAATTCCAGGAACCATGCCAGGCACGTCACATGTACTCACGACGCCCGACACTGCAAAAGGAACAACTGTGAGGAGTAGCCATCTTTCCTGACTCCTCGTGCAGGAAACTGAGTACCAAGCACTCCAAGATGGTGCCACTCCAAGATGGCGCCACAGGAAGTGCTGGAGCCAAACTCGGAGCCGGGCTGAGCTGAGGGCAAACGCGCCTCTTCCCACGCAGGGACACAGGGCACCCTCTCCTGGTGTCCCATTGCTGTCATCAGCTTTCTGAGAACATTCCATTTTGGAAATAAAGACCAGGATGTCGCTCCCTATCGTGACAATTCAGATGTCTCAATGAACTGAACGTGCCTCTCTCACAAGAGTCAAAGTCCACTGAAGGGACAGCACAGAGAAGCCACTGTAGCAACGCCTGGCGTCAGAGAAAGCACATTTTTGTGACCCTGTCACAGTGGGTGGCTTTTTGTAATTTTCAATGTCGGCCCTGTGGCTCATTTGAAGAGGATAAGAACACCACATGTGACCGAGCTGTCAGACCCCGAGCTGGGGACAAGGCGTCTTCCTGTCTATGTACCCAAGGCCCACCTGCAGTGGACATCCGACACCTGGCGTCGTTGACCCAGGGTCAAGGAGGACTGACTTCTGAAAGCCACGTCTCCGGGTGCCTGACACGTTGGCTGAACCCAGAAAGGCCTCCATTTCACAGCCAGCCCGCGATGGCCTGGGGCGAGTGCCTTACCTCCCGGTTCTTGAGCTTCATGGCGAGCACCAACTGGTGGCGGTGGTTCGTGAGGGCCTCCCGGTAGTTTCCTTTGGAGAAGAATGCAGAGCCCAGGTTCCCGTGAGCACGACATTCTCCTGTCTGGTCACCTGAATTGGATCAGAAAACAAAAGGTCAGGTGTCTCCAAGCCAGAGCTCTGCAGGTCACAAACGAGATCCTCCAGCCAGGCCTCCATTCGCCGTCTTTTAGGGGACGATTTGCTTCTGATCGCCACAGAATGCGGCGAGCTAAGACCCCAGCCCTCGGCCTCAGGACACCCGTTATCGCCGTCGTGACAGAACCGCGGTCAGGGGCCTCGGCGTCCCAGACACGAGAGGATGAACCCTGCTGCCGTGCAGCTGTCCTCCCGCTCTGCTCATGACCTGGTTCTGCACAGGTCATGACTGTGGCTCAGTCATTTCTTCTAGGCCCCGATCACGTGGCTTCTTTACAAAGACGCCATGTCCCCTCTCCTCCTCCTCCAACGCCGCAAGCCCTGGGTATCACAGTGACCGTCACAACCGCTACCCACACCTGTCCCAGAAGCCAGGCAACTGGACACAGAGTCAGGAAGCTTCTGCAAAGTGACAGCATCACAAAACCCAGCTCCAAGCTTCTAAACCACACCGTCTCCTTCGGCGAGGTGGTGAAGCCTTCTGCTGGGGGCAAAGTTGAAATAAAGACATTCTGCCGTGTGCCAGCCAGGATACGAAATCGAGGAGCCCGAATGACAAAGGTGGGCAGGGGGTGTGCTCACCCTCGTCTTGGCCTTTTGGGATCCTTGGTACCTTGGGCTGGGAAAAGCCCTAAGACCACTCCTCGCACTCACCTAAGGTCTTGGCCACGTCCAGGTCCTGCTGCATGTACCCCGTGCTCTTCTCCGTGTTCCCCAGGGACCAGTAGGCGCTGCTCAGGGCGGAGAAGACGGAGCCTCGCAGCTTCAGGCTGCACGTGCCAATCTTCAGGGCCGCTTCCAACACGACCACGGAGGCCCCGTGGTGGCCGGCCGTCAGCAGCTCCTGGCCCACCACAGACACCACCACGAAGGGGCTCTTGTCCAGCTTCATCTTCTGAAGCTGCTGGTAGGTGGGCTCCAGGGAGTCTGAAGAAAGAAAAGCAGACAGTGTGGGTCTTCCTCCTCCCTTCCCGAGGTCAAGTTCAAGTGCGACCTCCGGCACTAATCTGCCCACGTCAGCCGCCCGCTCAGCACGTGCCTGGTCTCCTCAGGGAGACCTGCGTGGCCGTCCCCTGCCCGGCCTCCTTCTCAAAAGACCCCAGGCACATCCTTCAGGGGCCACCTGCGCTCTTCTAGGCCACCCCGAGTCTTGTCACTAAACTCCTGCTGCCTATGACGGTTTGACCGTGCACCGTTTCAGGATTGTTCCACAGGTCAATCTCAACAGCGCTGTCCCAGCTAAATCTGAAGTCCACGGTAGGACTGTTCAAAATTTTATTATAAGAAATCAATTTTGATTGAAATTTTTCATTATAATAATAAGCTTTTGCAAGTGAACAATAATCTTTTAAAAATGAAAAAAACCTCACCGCTGAAAGTCCCTAACATGTCTGGTGCTCAGTAATTGGTCTGTTAACCCTGACTTTTGTTTTGTTTTGTTTTCGTTTTTATTTTGGCAGTACTGGGATTTGAACTTGGGGCTTTGCGAGTGCTCAGGCAGATGACCTTACTGCTTCAGCCACGTTACCAGCCCTGTCGCCTCTGATTTCGAATGATTAACAAAGCCTGCTCGCGTGTTGTTTTGTTTTGCTTTTCCCTAGAGACGCGATAAAAGATTTTTACCAACAAAATACCAGTCCTCCTCACTGCTTCTGAAACCAGCACGTCCAAAGAAAAATATTACCAAAGAAGCCATCTGTATTTACTGACGTAAGAGAGAACTAAAATCAGCGTTGATCTGATTTCATTTTATTCTCCTGTGGTATCTGGGATGGCCAGAGGTGAGAGGTCAACCAGTCAGCCAGCCAGTAGCACTCTTTCCCAGCGAGCGAGGTTAGCAAGTAGACGACCTCAATCTCCTCCCTTCCTTCTCTCTCTTTTTCGTTAAAGGCACGGCAGAGGTACTGCCTGTCGCCCTACAAGGAGGTGGGCAGTCACGACTCTTCTGTTAGCTTCCCTGGAAAACTCCTGCACAGTCGCGTACAGAACTGCACAAGAACTGGTCCCTTTAAGTCTTGTGTCTCCTAGCCAGCGGTGCTGCGTTCAAAAGCAATTTTTACAATTTATGGTTTCTCAGCCCTCCACTCAGGAGCTCCACCTGAATCAACGTTTGCCAGGGAACCTTGAAACTTACTGGCGCCTGGAGCATTTTTTCCCCTTCAATCAGATCACTAAACAGAGAACAAAGGACATTTTTACACCTGTCAGGATGCAGCAGCAGCAGCAGCAGGACCGGTAAACGCTCCAGCCAATGGGGTTAGATCCAGGCGGAGCAGCCAGGATCCACCGTGGCAGAAAAGAATAGAGAAGAACAGCCTGAGCAGGCTTTCCTGGCCTATTAGCAGAAAGAGCAAAGCAGAATTTCAGTGCTGACGAGACTTGAAATACCCTCGTTTCACAATCGCAGAGGGGCACTGGACGCTGCGAGTGCCTGAGCGGTTCACGCAGGTCAGGCAGCTTGGGACATGGCTGAGGTAGGAAGCCAGGGCCAGGCGCTAAATCAGACTCCCAGGCCATGCCAGGGTCTCGGTTGCTAGCAACAGAAGCCAGTCTGGTGGCTTTTAAGTGATAAAGAAACGCTGTGAGTGACTACACCTATGGGGCAGGATAGGACGTAGGTCTCCAACCCACGGTCACAATCATGCCAGGAAAGCTTCCTGGTGACGGCAGCAGAATCACTGCGACCAAATGCAGGGTGCCCCTGGTGTGCAGCACTGACGACCACCAAACACTTCCCTTGGAACGAGGGTGTCACTGTCACCCCCTGCAGCCGCAGAACAAGTTCTGTGCTAAGCTCTTCTTGGAACCTGTAGCTCCACATTCAAAGCTGGGGTCCCGGCTACCAAGCAGGGAGGGAAAATTAGGATTTGAAGTTTCCGGCTTTTGTACTGGAAGGCAGATGGCAGAAGTAAGAGATTGGTAGAACATAGGGACAGTGTTCAGACGCTTCCCAAAGTGACCCTGGCTGGCACAGGTGCTGTGACTCTGCTGGAGACGGCCAGGTGGGAAAACAGCCACAAAACTTGGCCTCTTCAACTACACAAGAGTCCTACAGACAGGAGAAATTCAAAACCGAAGACGTCTGGAAAAATCCCCCAAAGAGAAATCAATCCGTTTTCTTGTCTTTTTTAGAAATTTGGATATATTCGTTGTGCAGGGGGATTCATTGTGACAGTTCCAAATAGGCTTATATTGTACATTGGTTAGGTCACCCCCACTGTCTCTCCGCCTTGTTCCCCTCCCCACTCCACTTAAAGCAATTGCAAGAGGTTTCTTTGTTCTGTTTCCTATCAGTGTAGGAAGCCCATCCACCACATGCCCTCACCTCCATCTCTTCCAGTCCCCTTCCCCTCCTAAAAGTGTCCCCCCACTGTCCCTATTTCACAGAACTGGCCGTCGTTATTAATTCCTGAGTCAGTTTCTCCGTGTGTCCCCGCTGTGGCAGAGTTCACTTTGTCCATCCAACCCTTCCATTGCTCCCCCTTACCCCTTCCTTCCCACCCCCGTTGTTCGCCAGCTCTCAGTACACATCCTTACGTCTTCCGCCTTCACAGAGGTGATGGTTTAGGGTATTACTAAGTTCTAGCATTCTCTCTTCCCTCCCCTCCTCCCCTGAGTTCCATGGCGTAGTTCCCGTTACGAACGGGTTCTTCCTCTGAGTTTGCACACGACCGTGCTTGTTTTTGGGTATGTGTTTATCGTTGGCTCTGTCTTCCCCATATGAGAGGAAACCTGTGGCCTTTGTCTTTCTGAGCCTGGCTTACTTCACTTAACATGATGGCCTCCACTGGCATCCATTCACCTTCAAACCCCGTGTCATTATCCAGAAGAAGTCTTTGATTGCACAAGTTTTCACTGGATGAAAATGAAATTGAAGAAAGGAGAAATACAAGATCCAAGGCCCACTTGGGGTTTATAGGAAAGAGAATACAAGCACACTAAAGGCAGGTGCGGAGGTCAAAGGTGAAAGCAAAGGTGAAATACAGGGAGTGACACCCAGGGCAATCAGAGAGCTTCCAGGAGGCAGAACCTGGCTTGTTTTTGGCGGTCCTGGGGTTTGAACTCGGGGCTTTATACCCGCTAGGCAGGTGCTCTACCACTTGAACCATGCCAGCAGCTCTTTTTTGCTGTAGTTATTTTGGAGATGGGGGTCTTGCTTTTTTTCCCCAGGCTGGCCCAGACAGTCCTATTTTAGGCATCCCACTGTAGACGGGATGACAGGCACAAACGACCACACCCGGTTTTGTTTTGTTTTTGTTGAGATGGGGTCTCATGAACTTGCTTTGCCGAGGCTGGTCTTGAATCATGATCCTCCCCATCTCAGCCTCCCAAATAGCTAGAATTACAGGCGTTACTCATGGCGCCCAGCTAGAACTTGGTTTCTTAAAGAAAGGGTAGGACTGAAGCAAGTCTTTGGGTTTTGTTCCTGAGTGGAAGGTATTTTATGCAGGACTGTCCCAGATGAAGGGGGCAGGGGAAGAATGGCGCAGAGAGTGACAGGGAGCGCTGACAGGCGGAGGATGTGTGTAGGGAAGGAGGCTGACGGGGGAATGATGGAGCAAACACTGGGTCCTGGATAAAGAGACTGGTGTTTCAAAGCCACCTCACCCGCTCCGTCCTCACCTTGTGACTGTAGCAATACACACATCCACGTGTGTGTACAGGTACACCGGGCACACGTAAACGGATGGGGAAGTTACCACGAGGCCTGGGTACGGCTGTACACAAGATGTCCATTTTGCGAGGCATAAATTAAAACATATTTAATGTCAAATGCCTCTGTTTTGGACGGCAATCATCTCACGGTCACATTCACTCATCAGAAGCTCTTATTAGCAGGTTTTGGTTTTTGTTTTTTGAGATGAGGAAACTCCTGGCCTCAAACAATCCTCCCACTCAGCCTCCCGAGTAGCTGGGACTATAGCCATGAGCTACTGCACCCCACAATTCCAGTATGCTACAATTCTAATTCTGGTTCTCGGGTAAACTAAGCTATTAGCAAAAGGACTCATTTTGTGATTTTGAGCAAGCTAGACAGAACAGAGTTTTGGCAGGCTGTAGAGCTATTAAGTTGTTTTTCTAGAACTCATGCATAACACATGAAATAGCCAACGTGAAACGCATTTCATGAGAACGTGAAGATCCCTGGCAATGTCCATCGATCAGCTGTGGCGTGTTTCTGAAACACAAAGGCTTTAGAATCTAAGCTGAACCGAGCCTCACGTCCTGACCCCTGCCGGACTGACCGCAAAGGGTCACACTGGCTAAGTGACGCCATGTCTTCAGTCTCACTTCTGAGACTTTCTCAGACATTAACATCGTGATTGACGATGTAACGTCTGAGCTCAACAGTCTCGTGGTGGCCTGTCACTTCTGCATCCAACACCTCACAGAGCTCTTCCAAAAGCTGTTGGTAAGAAGCCAGTTGGTGAGAAGGGCTGTGGTGACCTTTGGTGGCCGGTTGCTGGTTCTTAGGGACACGGCTTTGCAGTCAGAGTCCTTGGAACCACTGGCTATGCCCTTGTCTGGTGGGGCTTCCCAGGGGAAGTGACTGAGCTGGCGTAGGACTGGGAGCCACTGGAAGGCACAGGGAGCTTCAGCTGGGGTACCTGGAGCCAGGTAAGGGGCGCAGGCTCGAGAGACAGCCCATGAGTGCACAGAGGCCCCTCGTGTCCATGATGGCAGCCTGTGTCTACCCCTGCCACCATGGCAGAGCGCAGGATGGAGGCCTGGCTCTCGGCACCACAGAGGGCACAGAGAGGGCTTGGCCAGGGGGCCAGGAAGCCACCCTGCTCGGGCAGTGGACCAGAACGGCAGTGCTGGAATGGGATCCTGGTCCTGTGGGCAGAAAGCCCGCTTCTAACACAGCATTTCAGAAGTAGGCCTCCTGGGGAAAGTGACAGCCCCTAGAAGAAAATCCGAGGGAAAGAGATGGCCGAGGGTGGACAGCGAGGCAGAGAGGCGAGGCCAGCTGACCCTGGGGGAAGCCCTGGGTCACTCACAGCCGCATCCCATGGGTGTTCTGAACCCCTGGGAGCTGGCAGCAAGACCACAGGTGACACCATCGCCACTGAAGTCTTTAGATTACTGAATGAAGCAGAGAAGAGAAGGTGGCACAGGAGAACCCTCAGCTGAGACGGGCCTGGCACCGTCAGAGGAGCACAGAAAGGCAAACTCAATCTCCTGCTGTAATTAGATTATTAAATCCAGGCTGGCAGCCTCAGTGTGCCACCATGTCCAAACCCCTTAAACACTGACAGCAGACAACGACCGAAATGCTGAAAGATGGCCTGAAAGCGGGAAACTGAAAATGCCACGGGATAACAAAGACTCGCCTGCAAGAAAGGCTCCATCTACATTTATGCTCGTTTTTATATTTTTATTAGCGATTTAAGGGGCACGCATTACATATGGCAATGGAACGGTATTCACAGGAGAAAGCGCTCCACCCGTTCCCAGTTTCTGAGCATGTGTGAAGCTATGAAAATAAAGAAAAGCAGATTTGATTCCGTTTCCTAGATGTACAGGCAGCGACAATAAAAGATCAAATTAACTTTCACACGCATAAATAGAAAATATTTATATAGAAAGAAGAGTATTGATGGAGGTTGAGCCTGCCTTTCACAAAATGTTTTCCCTCCCCTCTGCTCCTCACTTACCTCTCCCCTCCCCTCCCCTCCCCCTCCTCTCCTCTTTCCTTTCCTATAGTGAGGGTGGAACCCAGGGCCTCCCACATGCTAGGCAAGGGCTACCACTGAGCTATACCCCAGCCCTAAAAAAAAATCCTGACACTTCCCCGAAGACCACACCGTAGGAAGCCTGTGCAGGCCGCAGGGTTGGTTTGCTTACAGAAGCTCCTGGCCAGGGAGTTTTCTGTCCCTGTACAAATTTCACAGCAAAATCAACTGACACATCAGTCAGGTCCACCCATGGGGTCCCAGACCACAGCAGCAATGGCAGGGACCTGGAGATGCCGGAGCAGCAAACGGTGACAGATTCTGTGAATTTCCAAGGTCCTGAGGACGTGGTGACACACAGGACACTGTGCAAAGCAGCTGAGTCTAGGGGGACGTGGGTAAAAGAGCCCACCCAGAATGGCGCAGTGGGAAAGGCAAGGCTAAAAATAAGCCAGATGAATTAAATTGCCTTGGGGGAAGCCAGAGAAATGTAGGAAGCCTTTCTTTGGGGTCAGCCTCAGGTCGCTCCCAGAAGCCAGGAAGGGACAAGGACACACAACCCGAGGGTGGCAGCAGTTCTGGGCTATTTTTTGCAGCACAGGGAAGATTTGATTACATTTATCTCAACAAATTGCTTCAAAGGCAAAATGGCGAGTCTGACTGTGCTGATATCAACACATCAAAGTATTCAAAGCGGTCACTCCATGAACAAGGTAACAAACGTCCCTGCATATTCTTTGTGAGGGGAAGGGAAGAAATGAGAAAAGGCTAGAAAAATGGAAGAGAAGGGCAGGTTAATTTTGTCTCCCGCCCCCCTGCCTGGCCCCCCAGCCCGGGAGCTCCAGAGCATCTGCTCTGAGTCAGTTTATTAACAGCACATCCCACAGTGGGAGAAGCCATTAGGCTCCTGCCGCAGACCTGGCTTTCCGTGGCTTATAAAATCACACGAGGAGAGCTTTCCTTGCCTCTTTCTTTCTAAAACATGAAATCCCTAACTTTCAGGAGCACGTTTTTTACAGCTATGAATTACCCAGAGGCCATGCTAGTACCATTCCGCTCGTCAGACTTTTATTTGCATGTACTTTGAGCCAAACACAACATTGGTGGCAATATTGAAACTATCTAATTGGAGCTAGCTAACTGCCATCGGAGACTTCACGTTCATTCTCCTGTGTGTGAGAATTTCAAAAACGCACCACCGCCAAGTCAGGAGAGCTGTGTTTGGCGTAACTTAATCAGCAAGAGGTGACACTAGCCGTCTACTGGATGCTGCGAGCCTGCCTTAGCCACTCGCTCGCTCGTCACATCAAATCTTCCCCAGGGCTCGCTCCTCAAACATCAACGAGCTCGCTGGGTATGGGGGTACACGCCTGTAATCCCAGCTCGCAGAAGCTCAGGCAGGGGGATCTCCAGTTTGAGACCAGCCCGGGCTACACAGAAAGATGCTGCCTAAAAAACGAAAAACAATTAATGTCCCTGGCCTGGGGGGTGGGGGGAGAGGGCGGGACAGTAACCAATCTATTTTAGATCGGAACCAATCTATTTTGGGCCTTAGAACTGCTCCAACCTCCATGGTGCCATTTTCAACCCGCTCTCGTGTTCTTCCGGAAATAAAGTAAGGTAACAGAGAAAACATGTTGTAAACGACTGTCGGTCTGTCTGTCTTTTCTCTCTCGCCTTTTAATTCAACATCTTTTATAACTCCTCTGAAACACGCTAGATTCACCCATGGTTATGTAACGCTTGCTTTTATGAAATGGAAGAATGTCTGGTGTCTAAATTACTTCTAGAAGACACACTGGTCCATCCAGGATGTAGAGAACACACAGCCTCGCGTAACAAACTGCAAAGTTTGTCTGTACTTTGGGTGTTTTGCAGTTCAGAATCAGTGAGCTGCCAGACCCCTGGACTACAGATAAACAGCTGCCACCAACACCAGGACAGCGTCTCTATGGACAGGACTGAAAAGCCATGCAGCCGAGAAACGCCAATATGGCATCCGACACGGTGACACTCATGCTAAGACGTGATGACGTCTAGAGCAGCCGCCCGGACCCCACCTGGGTTACACCCCAGGAGGTAGCCAATCAGCAGACTGGTTATGGATGACATAGGAGGGGACCACTGTGGAGGATGAAGACCTATCAGAGTGTGCTTTCCAATGTCCTCCAAAGGGACTCTGCTGCATGGCCTCTCCTTGTCAGAGGGTCTCTCTCTCCCAAGTAAGAGAGGCCCTGCCTGTGACAGCTCCCTCCCGAGCGGAGAGGACTGGGCCCAGCCCAAACGAGCTTGGTTGGGCTCTCCTGGGGAGCACAAGCCTTACCTGCCATGTTGCCCAGCACGGCAACTGACTGCGTGCCCGGACTCCCTCTTGGACCTCGGAAGTGGGCACTTGGAGTGTGAATAAATGCTGCCGCCTTGACCCAAGGGTCTGAGTGGGCTTTGAGGGACACGGCTGCGGTTTTATTGCCTCTAACCTAAGTCTGCCTTGGGCCATGTCCCAATCCCACTAACTTCTCCCATGTGGCAAGGAGGACAAAGCCCTGTTCAAGACACAGGAAAATCAACTTACAGCATTGCTTTAGAATTACAGAATTTCAGAACCACAAAAGGGGGGGGTTATTGTTTAAATGGCCCCCAAATCCAGACAAGTCCATTTGTTTTACCCGTGGTCGTCGAGTTAGCTCATGAAAAGCTGGAGACTCTAACCTAGGTCCAGCCATGTCTAGGCCAGCGGCCTTCCAGCCACACTGTCTGCCTCACTGACCTCAGGGAGCGACCGTGCTTCCTCATCCTCCAGTGTCTGAGTGTCAGAGCTCAGTGGGTCCCCTGTACCCGAGGCTGAGCTCTTAGAAGCGGTCAGAGAGTGTCCTTGCGGTCTGCTCACCTCTCATGGGAGATTTCATGGCTGCTTCTACCATCCCCACCAGAAGCTGGAGACTCTTGGGGTCTTGGGCCAGGCCAGACGCAAAGGCTGCCAGGGCATCGGCGTGACGTCCCAGGTACTGGAGGGCGACACCCTGTCGGAAGTATGCCTGGAAAGGAAGGGGAGATGCACACTTAGCACACTGCGGCCCATAGGGAAGAGGGGACTCTCCACAGGACACCGGGCCAGCACAGGGGACACCACACGCCCTGGGTCAAAGCACAGGGGACAGTTGACATCAGAAAACACAAGGGCACTGCAGCTTGCGCTTAGAACCATCACTCTTCTTGCTTTGGGGACACCTGCTGATATTAACCCATTTTCTGGCACTTATTCCTGGATTGTTTTTATTGTTTCTTGATGATTTAAAAACATTTCGTGGCTCACGCCTGTAATCCCAGCTACTCAGGAGGCAGAGATCAGGAGGATCACGGTTCAAAGCCAGCCCAGGCAAATAGCTCAAGAGACCCTATCTTGAAAATACCTAACACAAAAAAGTGCTGGTGGGGTGGCTCAAGGTGTAGATCCTGAGTTCAAATCTCACTACTGCAAAATAAATAAACAAACAAAAAAAGCAATAGGATAAAAATATTTTGTACCCTTTATACCCACCCAAGGACAAGCTTGGCAATTTTTTTGCAACTCACTGAAGAATCTGGCACTTTGCATAAAAATGAAACATAAATTCAGCTCACTGGGTATTTCCCCCAATATAATTAAAAGGGGAAAGTCAGCGTGGGTTACTCCTTCCAAGACAATGTAACATGGTCGCACACTCGCTGTGACGTTTCAGGCCCAATATTTCCAAGCAGTTCTCTAAAATTTGTGAGCTTCGCTTAGAAACTCAGATTTTTTTTTTTTTTTTTTTTGTCCATTACATCCCTTAGCTGGCTTGGTTTTAGGAAATACCTAAATATTTAAATTTTAGGACAGTTTTAAAAAACTGCAGTTTGTTTTCAAGTACACAGAGTGGAGTCAAGAAGAAGCGACGGGATGAGTTGTTACTACTTATATACCCAGCAACGGAAAACACAGATAAATAAAGTAAACCATGTCACCCACACATCCGACGCTCCTGACAACTTTTTCTACACTATCTGACTTCTTATTCCACCTCAGTGCTCCCGCTCAGGGCCCTGTCTGCAGCACAAACCTGACTTTTCTCAGTCCGACACACTTACCCCAGTGGTACCTATGGGATCGCAGTGAAGTATGGAACTCGAAACTGCTGCTCGGAAGCTTAACCTATAATTTTGCCACCGTGGCAATCTTTAACGTGTCTACAGACATTTGTCATTGTCCTTTTCACTTCACAGTTCAGGTGATTTCAGAAATCCAAAAGGCTGTAACATGGTGCATCCCAGCTAAAAAGAACTGCAGTTTACAAAAGTCTGGAAGTGCTACCTTAATGCTTAACTAAAATATACGTATCGGGCTGGGGAGAGGCTCGAGTGCGTACAGCACAGCCTAGCAGGCATGAGGCCCCGAGTTCAAATCCCAGGGCCGCCAAAATAAAACAAAACAGATCTCTCTCTCTCTCTCTCTCTCTCTCTCTCTCTTTCTCTCTCTCTCTATCCTTGGGAAAATATCCTAAAAGGAGGTGGAGGAGAGAAGGGCCAAAGGCCTCCTGTTCCCTCCTGGGAACAACCAGTTTCAAAAGTCAGCTGATCCTTATTTTCCAAGGACTCAAGTTTTGCCACAGCCCTGCTCCAGGGTCTCAGCGTGGTCTCCCCAACGTCCCCCACGGCTTCTTGATGGCACGCACGTACACATCACTACTGAAAGAAATGAGTCTCTGGACCTCTGTGAAAGAGATACCGGTGTGGCGTTTAAGCTAGATCGTAGGCCACGGTGACAGAACAGAGAAGCGGCACGCACCTGTCGCAGAGGAAGCACTCCATCAAATGGGCTGTTCTCGTTCTTAGTTAACGAGAAGAGACTTAACAGGAACACGGATCTCAAAAAAATTCCCTTGCCCCACAAGAGGCTGCAAGCGGTGGGAAACTAAAGGCTAGGCCTTCCAAGGGAACCTGAGCCACCTGGCCGAAGGCTCTGGAATGATGGAGGCTGCGCCCTGATCCTCTGCCAGCTTTCTCCAAAGCACAGGACATGGGGTGCTGAGATCAGGGAAACTGATGTGACATCCAGGAGCTGCAGAGGGAGGAGACAAGGTGACCGGGAGCCCACCCAGGCCAGGAAGAAGAGAAACTCACAGGGAGCGTTAACAGTCCAGGCCACAGGTGGGAAGCCTGCATATTCAAGTGTCCTAGTGTTCCTGGAAAAATGGCACTGGCTGATAATGACCTCAGTTCCTGTGTCAGGCAGGAGAAGAACTGCAGCGAGACACAAAGATTTAGTAAAAGTAATAGGAAGGTTTATTTACACACTTTCAGCAGATGAAAGTGGGTGCTCAGGTGAGAGAACGACAGGTCAGGTTTTCAGGTTAGAATATTGACAGAGAAACTCAGCTTTGGGTCCTTTTTGGCCCCTGGGGTGATTTCCTGGGTTTGGGTCATTTTCTAAACTATTTACTATTATTGATGGAAACTACTGTCTCACCCTGATTGATAGAGAACTTCTGTTTGAAATCCCTAACCTGTCTAGCTCTCAGGTTTGGGTCTTTGTTTTGGGAAATTCCCTTGTGAAAACCTCCCCCAGCCACACTGAGTTGATATTTAGGGTGTGGGCCACTCTTGATAAAGAGTGATTAAGCTTTAGGGTCGTGGCTGACTTCAGAGCATCCCGTGGTGGCCCCTGGGCTCTGGCGACCTGATCTTAAATACAGACTAGTGGAGCTGAGAGGTTGAATTACAATGATTTTTTTTTTGCCTTTCTTCCTCTCGTGGCCAGGGCTTATGTCTGACTGACACCTGTCACTAAGGGCCAGAGGAACTGTTCAGGCCTCACACATAAAATAGAAAAGCTCAATTAGCTAAGAATACTTCTGTAACATTGCACGAGCACCAGAAACACAACTAACGACTACCGCATTTGCAAGCTTTTGCTTTTCATTATGTGGAGGTTAAAGTGCAAATGTTCAAAGACTAAACATTTCAAACGCTGCACCCTTCACCCTGCAAGCCACCCCGGACATAACGACAAACCTTCCCAGCTTTACTCCCAGCATTCGTTCCTGGTTGGCAATTTCAAATGTCACCAAAGCGCTGGCAGAGCGGGCTCAAGTGCTGGCGTGCCTGCCTAGCAAGCGTGAGGCCCTGAGTTCAAATGTCACCAAAGCCAGCACAACCTAACACCCCACTGGCTCGTGGTCCAAGTGAGTGAGGAGGCAATAGATGGTGCTCACGGCGACACGTGGACATCTGCAACACGAAATGTGGGACAGACACATAGAGAGGTGATGAAGAGAAGTGACAGCATGTACCCGTGTCAAGTGCAGTGCACCACCGGTGACCCCACCCGCGCGTGTGCACAGTCTGCCCTTTGATCTTGATTCAATCCCTGCTCTCAGATGCTACTCTTCAGTGTCCCCAGCCTGTCATTTGCAATTTGGATCTAAGCTTCTTTAAACCTGGCTCTCACTCACTCCCTAGCCAACACGTACTTTCCACGTCGTCACCGCCCCTCTCAGCAATGTCTGCAAATCACCTCTCTACCAAATTTCCACTTCTATTCTGTTTTAAAAATGAATAGAAGTGGACAACACGGAAACGCTGATTCCAGTTTTACAAAAGCAGCAGCAATGATGGAACACAACCAAAAGAGGAAACGATGACATGGAGCCCCTTGCGATGGGGAGGGGACAGTGCGAGAACGCAAAAGGGAAGTGGTGACTGGAGATCTGACTTTCTGTCTCCTCCCTGTCTGGACAGAGCCGGCCGTGTTGCTGTGTGCACACTTGGCATTTCTCACGGATGATCGAGATACGACCGTGACACACACTTTTTCAGGACGCAGGGCCTGGGTTAGTGAAAGGTGACGGGCCCAGCTCTACCATGTGTGTGAGCCAATGTGCACACACACGTGACCCGTGTTCATTAGACACTGGTCACTTGGCTCACACATGAAGGCACGCATCCCATGTCCCTAGTCCAAGTTTTCACACCCCTGCATCAAACAGACCAGGTGACAGCAAGGAGGAAAAGGGGAAATGACAGACCCAGAGTGGGGTGGGGAACTCCTTCCTCTCCGTTGATCAGAATTGCAACCCGGCTCCCGGGCCCCACGCCTGACCCCGATCAGCGCTGATAGGAGCCGGGTGCTGTCGTGCTCGTCCCACACCTGGAAGTCACCCCGGATTTCTGCAGCTCTCTGACTTCCAGAACCTTTCTAAGGGACCCGTTTACAGACCGACTGCTGTGAACTAGACACTGCGCCAGGTATTTCCAAAGCATGTCTTATTAATTCCTCAGGGAGGTGTGACGGTGACCACAGAACAAAGAGGTGGTCACAAAATTTGTCCCCAATCACAGCCACAAAGCCAAACTGCCACATTGATGTCCCTCTCCTGTAGGCCACACCACCTCCGAGGAAAGAATTCATGGTGTGCACTTGACCTCTGAATCAGCTTTTTTTGGGGGGGGGGACTCTTGCAAAATTCAACAGACGGAAGCAGAAATGAAGGAAAATCAGAAATGACGCGGGAAATTTACGAGCATGAATATTTAATCTCTGTTCCATTAGCAACCCTTGATTGTAGAACGGTCGCTAATGAATTGGATGGAGGGGAATTTCATTTCATTAACCTTTCGTATAAATGTGTTATTATTGAACCAAACAGGCCACTGTACTTGTCACTGGCTCGACGCTAATTAGATTACAGGTGCAGGCCTTTAAATCAAAGTGGCCACCACCCTCGGCCAGGGCTCCCTTGGCTCCCAGGCTTCTTTCAGCTTCTCGTATGGCCAAGCGAGTTTTTCCTCTTCCTTCTATTTCCTGACACATGGTATCCAGAATAAAGTGGAATAAAACCTAAGATCCATTTTGGTTTTTTTTTTCGCTAGTCTGCCTTACTGCATGCCGAAAGCACACTCTAGAGACTGGGGAGCTATTTTAGAAAACACCATTATTTGGTTTGCAAGCCAGTGTCAGAGGAGAGGACCAAATGTCCTAAACATGGTGTTCCAACCAGATCTGCAGCTGTGAGGTCCC